CTGTCATGCTCAGGTTGTGCAGCTGTCAGTTGTGGTGGCTGCTTGGTGTTGTCGCTTTGTGATGCGACAGTGAGCTCTGTGGTCTGATGCTGACGAGCAGTGTTCTGGGTGTCTGGCTTGGGTCTTGCGCTGAGACATAGGATGTCTGACTTGTCTCCTTGTGATGTCTCGTGCAGAAACGCTTTCAGCACCTTCAGGATTTCTGCCGTCTGTGACGTGGCTGCACTGTTGTTATCTGATGTGTGCTCAGACTTGTGCTTACCAGTGGCGTGTTGAGAGGGTACCGCTCTGGGCTGGTTGGGCTTGAGTCTCTTGGTGCTGGGCGGTCCATTCTGGGTCGCCGGCTGGCTTCCAGAAATGTTTCAGAGCTCTTGCTCTGGGGCGTTAGATGAGCACCATGACTGTTGTGTTGCCCTCTGCTGGCCTGGAACGGTTTAACTCTCAGTGAAGGTGTTAGTGATGTATGGGGTGCCTTCTAGGGGCAGCTCTGAGTCGTGCTCAGAGACAGGTTAGTCTGAGGGTTTTTACACAGTCTTTTCGGACAAAGCCTTTGCTTAATGTGAGCTTTGCGGGCCCAGTCTCGTAGCTGAGGTAGACAGGCTACAAGCACAGGCCAGGGTGCTTATCGACTAACTCACTGTGGGATGCAGGTTTTAAGGGAACAAAGTTCTGAAACTGGTATCCTTTTCATACCTGATGGTTTGCTTCTCGAAGTAGGCTTGCCGAAGTCGGTGGAGTTTCAAGTCGGTCTTACTTGATGTCCACGGTGGTGATAACCCTTGGTCTGATTCTGGATCAGGGAGTTAAGCGATCAAAGCTTATTGCAACAGCTGGTAGTCCATTTTGACAGTCTCTGTTTGACGATCTAGGAAGCTGTGCACCTCGCGACTGGACGTAATCCATATCAAGCAGAATCTGTTTCATGCAGTCATGTTGGTTAGACAGTTTGCAAGTGAAAGTCTTGTCTGCATGTCGTGGGTAGATGCAGGGTCCTGAGTGAATCTTGGGACCTTTCTGGTTAGCTTTGTTGCATCCTTTTTGGAGCCATGCCGTGGTTTGGGGCAGTGGTTCCTTGGCAGGTTGAGGTCGGTTAAGCAGGGGCTCTGTGGCATTCTGGCACACTTGTTGTGAGTGACTAATGCATGGCCCTAAAAGTTCAGAACTACTGCTTAATAAGTTAGTTAAGTGTTTAGCATAAAGCTAAGTGTCTCTTGTGTCCTTATCTTAGCTGTGCATGTTAGGGCTAAGTCTTGTGTGGTTCCGAGCGTATTTCCTGGAAAGGACATATCCGAGATGAAATAAATAACATAAGGTGGTCCTTATGACTAAATTATTTCTCTGGACTTAGCTGGTGGTCCACTATGGCTCGACGAAGTGAACAATAATAGGAAAAGGACCGCTTTCTTATTTAAATTCTGCTTATTATCGACCCTCAGGACTCTAGTAGTGCCCTAGTAAATTGTTGAAATTACTTGCGTTGCAGGGTCACAAACGAGTGCATTGGTTGAAACTAAGCCAAAATAACAAATAAGGGGTCTCTGTTTCCTTTCTGGGCCCTATTGGGAATAGAACCACACTCGGACAAGAGAGGAAATGAAATTAAATCATATAGATGACCTAAGGGAATAGCTGCTTGCTATTATCATCAAGGTCGAAGGAATGAAATAATCAATGAGGCAAAATAAAATTAACATTAAAGCAAAAGGAAATAAAGTGATCAAAACACGGGAATGATCTGAGGTCGAGAGTGTTCAGTGGCATTAGTGACTAAACTTTGGATTTGCTTTGATCAACACTATAGTGGGTTGTAGCGGTTGGGTGTTCAAAACCACATTGTGTGTCCCTCCAAAGCTTTAGTCAACATGCCGATGAAAATTCCTACGGTTACACGCGTTATTCTGTAGTTAGTCACGCAGTTTTCATGTAGTTAAACTTAAGTTTAATTAACAAGGCATCTGCGAAGTTCGCCCTTAACGGTTAGCAAGGAGTATTCCTAACCCTGTGAAGGTAAACTTTAGCTAATAAGAATGGTAAACATGGAAAGTGAGTAATTTAAAACCCTAACTGTGTTGAGAAAGTATTCTAGAATACTTTGCACTGTGGAACACGAGCGGTGAGTAAGGGTTCACGTAAATGATGCTAACTCTTAACTGTGGAGGTTATTCAGCTTAGCCTAAGTTAGCTTTGCTGCTAAGCTAGGTTAGCTTAGCCGGAGTTAGCTTAGTGCTGGGTTAGTTTAGCTTAGCCTAAGTTAGCTTGATGCTAGGCTAGCCACCCAGGCTGGTTTGCTTACAAAAGTGACATTACAAGGTAACACTTCCTGTGACAAGTTGTTGTCATGGGAACCAGAGCGTGTCAGAGCAATTCAACAGTATCTGAAGAATGTCTGTATATTTTACATGAATCATGCACGTTTTAATGGGTTAAAAGGAGGCGCCTATACTTTATGATTTTCAAGAACTTTGGTTGCATTCAGTAAAACGCAAATGTGTTTTGGCATTTGCTGATTTTCTCATGGAACTCTGTTCTTTACTTTACACGTCTTCTATTTGTTTACAAAGTAAGGAAATAGATTTGCTGCAAGTCAAAGCTTGTCTTGTTCTATTTGTTTACAGAGTAAGGAAATAGGTTTGCTGCTGAGTCAAAGCTCGTCTAAGCATATATAGGTACGTCTCTCTCATGCATGAGTGTTAGCTCTTCCGCGAGTAACTTGTTTTGATCGTTTAGTGGCTTTCTGCTTGTCGATGCAGCTAAAATTTAGGTGAATTACATCAATCTAACAATAACATTAAGGCCTTTACTTTGTAGAAAGGGGGAGCGTCTCCCAGGTCTACCTACATATAACTCTGTCCTGGGCTTCCTTCGTCAGGAACAGGTTTAGTCATACCGCGATTTGGATTTCTTTTTAACCAAAGCGGAATAGATATCGGTACAGATTACAAGCTGCTGAGGTGATACCTTTGTTACACAGACTTACGCTTTAATGCTGACGTTCTTGATATCAGTTGGGACTCTAAGGCTGTTTTTTTTTAAAGTAGAGATGTCAATTCCAGCTATTTGTTTTATCTGCATTTAGATAAGCCAGCGATCAAGATGCGTGTTGCACGTTGCGTCTTAGTTGGGTCGCGATGATCGAGTGCACGCCTGTAGGTTAACAATAGTTAAAACTCGGGTGATTTTACTACACTCTGTCGTCAGGGTAACGTACTGTATGCCCTGTTCGGAGTTGGTGTTTTCTGTAACTCTTCACTGTCACGAAACCTAATGTTTAACGGTGCTGATTTAAACAACATCTAGAAACTGTCTGTTTCAAAAGAGTCGTGCATAGTCCGTCGGCCGTTGAGGCTTACATGCCTATCTCAGATTCCTTTAACTTAGTAAAATTCTAATTCTACAAACGCAGAGTCTTGCACGGTGTTCGTGCTGTGTGTCTTCTGGTTCTGCAGTTCAGAATAATTTGGGTTTTGAGGAATTTTTACTGGGGGCCTTCACGCCTCGTTGAGTGGGCATGGTGTGGGGCCGAGAGAACTATGGTGACTGACGGGTTTTTGGAGGGAAAGTTTCTTGAAACTGGCGTCCTCCTCAGTTACATGTTCGTTATAAGTTCCACAGAAAACTCGTTCGGAGCCGGTGGTGATGGTACAGGCCCTCCGGGGTCTGTCTTGCTGGGTGTCGGTGTCGTGTTCACCGGTTGGAGACAGCAGGTGAAAGGTCACCGTCTTGTAGATTGTCAGAGATGTTGTGGAAGGCGGGCTTTTCCACCCCCTTTTTCAGCTCTTGTGCATTGGCTGAAATGTGCAGACTGGTCAGGGGAAGCTTGTGGTGTGTGTCCTTCCCTTTCCAGTCATGCTGCAGTCTATCAGAGTGTTGCAACTCTGTGGGTCAAGTTCGTGTTCGAGATCTTGTCTCTGCTGAACGAGCTTGTGGGTGGTCGCACGGGCCTCTTGCGCAGGCCGTGGCTTTTGAGTCTCTTTCAGTTCAGTCTCTGCTCTTTGCAAGAGACTTCACTTTGTCGGAGTTTCTCGTTGAATTCTTTTTAGTTCTTTTCTCTGACTATTTTTCTTCAGTCTATGTAGAAAATTAGACAGGGCAGTTTGAAGTCTTTCCACTTCCTTCGGTAGCTCGGGGTAGTTGTCATCCTCGGCGTTACAACCTTGTGCTCCAGGGCGATGCGGCTCCTTTCGCGGAGGCGTGCGTGTGCGTTGAGCTGGTGAGCGAGGTTGTGACGTGTCTGGCCCAGTCTTTGTCAGCTGCTCTTGGCTCGGGGCTCTGAGTCGCTGGTGGCTTTGGGCAGGGACGGAGATGTCATGAATCTCAGCCATGTCTCCAGGTTGTCCCAGCGGGTTGTGGGACTGTAGGACTGGAACATACTGCCTTCACTGTGGACGAGAGGAACACAACACACACAGACAGACCAATGCCAGTTCGACTACTTTTAACGAGCTATAATACAGGCTAAGCCGTGTATGAGAATTTTGGTTAACTGATGCAGACAGTTAAACCGTTTGGTGGGACAATTTGGGTAGGTCATCATGGGTCTGAATGAAGGTTTTTGACAGGGCGCTAGCTTAGGGGTCACCTGTTGGTGCTAACGACTTGGTTGTCAAACTATTCTTCAGCTTTCCTTGGTGTGTCAGAGAGGTTCTGTCTCTAGGTGAACTGAAAGGAACAGAGCGCAACAGAACAGAGCAATGGCAATCTAGCAAAGTTTGAAGTAACATGCAACCATCAGAGATGGGGAGGTCTGTACTGAAATGGCATTAGTAGTAGTACCCCAGCAGTGTTAGAAAGGGGAAGAAGAGAAGGCCTAAGCCTGTTTGGAGCCGGTTTGTGGCTCGGAGAGGAGGAAGCCAACCACTTCAAATTACCAGGGGAATCTCTAGGTTCTGTGGCAAATAGTAAGTGGATGGGTTTTAATACCTTTTCTAGTTTGCCTGGGGTGAAATGAGGTCACTCTGGCCGGAGTCAGCATCGTGGTTGGTCCTTCTGTCGCCCCACACATGACAGCAGTGTCCCGGGCCTTTCGGTGCATCTGTACCGAGGTGCGCCCTCTCAAGCAACTTGACCTTGAACACAACCGGCAGTGCCAGATTGGTGATATCGTGTTGCGGGCCGCACCAACAGAAGATACAGAAAAGTCAGAGACTCGCGCTCAGTCAGTGATGGTGACGCAGATCAGACGAACCAGCTCGCTGGACCCCAGGCAGAGATGACTGTCAAATCATCACAGCACGAGAGAGATTTCTACTTGCAAACACAAAACAGGATGAAGAACAAGTGTACTTCAATGTGAATTAAAGCTCCTTTATCTAAATCAAATTGAGTGTTTTTGTAGAAAAATCAAAGGCAACAGCTTTACTAAAATTATGGTATAAACAAAAAGGAAATTATGACAATGTTACTTATCAGAATAACCTAGCCTCCATTCAGGAAAGGGATAGAGTGCCGCAATGAAGAACACAGGAGGAAGCGAGCTGTAGTGGCGGGTTTTGGCCACTAAGGGTTTTGGGCCACTTCCTGCTAGTGTTTCACCGGGCTGACAGAGAGCTTGATTTAAATTGCATTCAAACTGATTAAACACAATTCAAATTGAGCAAATGCATAGGGGTTAAGTAACCATTAGATTAGTAAGGATACAGTTGTACCGAGACCAGATCAAAATTATTAAAAATAATTTGAGGAGGAAATATAGAAATAAAGCCATAAACAATTCCCAATGGGAAATGAGAGAATTAATTCAAATTAACTTCGAAATTTGTCTGTTTCAAACAAAATTTGAATAAGTGTAGGAAATTAAAGGTTGGTGTCATATTTGATGATAATCACGATTACGGTGAGGGATCAGTGATAACCAGAATACAACCAACAGAGAGAGCCATGCAAAAACAGAGTGATGTTAGCTGATGACTTAGCAAAAGGGGCTGCCACAAGGGGGCGCTTTCCTCTAAGTGGTCACAGAAGCTGCTAAGACTTAATTCTGAATTTTAAATTCAAACGTGGTTTGAACCAAATTCAAAACAAGTGCACACAGTCAAGGTAAAGAAAATCATGTTATTACAACGAGGCTGTAAATTGCACATGCATTGAAAGTTAGAGAAACTAGTTCAAAATTTCAGTAAGAAAATAGGAATTTTCTAACAGAGAATTTTGAGGAAAAGATGACCTAGCTGTTAGTGTCCACACGATGGCGCCACTGCGCTCACACGGGGTAAAGTCAGGACACCGGTGGAAATTTGATACTGCAAAGCACTCAAGGGCGCACCCTAGTGTCTGGCAGTAGTATTACAACCAGCCTGCTGCCCCTGTGATCTTCTCAGAGAGAGAATAATCACAAATATTACGGAATTTTAAATCTCGACGGATTTCTTTCCGGTACGATATTTTACAAGCACGTTTGGCAGGATTTTTTTTCTTTTCGCTGCATTGTGCAAAGGAAAACAGGAATTACTCGTCTGTTTCCTAAACTCCAAATAACATTTATCACAACTAGTATTAATGATAAGAATGTTTTCAGTTTGGGATTTTTTTCTGGTGCTATATTTGTTTAAAACACGTTCGCAGGTTTTCTTCGCTGCATTGTGCAAAGGAAAACAGGAATTACTCGTCTGTTTCCTGCTCCAACAGGCATATATCAAATAGCACTTATGATAATATGCTTGGCGGTTTTATACATTGAGTAGCTAAGTCAATGTTTTTTCAACCAGGAGCTTATCGTTACTCTAACGATTATAATATAAGGCCTTTTAAGAACAGTAAAAGAGCATCGTTTTACCGTATCTTGTCTTCGACACTATTCGGAGAATTTCGTCCGGACAGTGGAGTTAAAATTATTAAAAGTGTCGTTTATGCACAGAGGTTTCTCTTCCATCTGTGCCAGAACAAATTTAATACTATGGAAACTGCAGTTTATTTTTAACAATTAACAGTGACTAAAATGTTTGAACATTTAGCAGCTTGTTAAATGTGCTTGACTGAGGCGGCTTTCGTGCCCAGATCAGTCATATCATGAGTTCGCAAAGCGTTCACTCCGATGCGCGTGTAATATTAAATATTACATAAACAATATTAAATAACAATATACACATTAGCTTGAAATTGATTGCTCATAAACAAGTTTGAAATGCTCAGCATTCTCCACCATTCATGTAAAGACTCTGGGTCGGTTCTGATCAGGGGGGAATTTGCATATCATAATTAATAATTGATAATTAATAATTATTCATACAGATTTGGATCAGACCGGTCTTACATGTTAATTTATTAATTTTACCCATATGCATACATGTGCATCCCCGCAATCCACCACAAATTAATTGTTATTGATTGCAAGGACCACGTTTTACAAGACAGGTAAAATCAATTAGCTCAATTAAGTTATATAGCTTGTGAAAACAAATTCTGTGGCCACTAGAATCTGCCTTCCCTGCTATATAACCAAATACCCTCTTAGGTATTTATAGTTCTGTAAAGCGTGTAGCTTTAAATCGACATTTCATTGACCCGTATCATGAGCAAGACAATCAGTCAAGGTAAGCATATTTTGTATTTAATAAAGTTCCTACTTAAGCATTCACTACGTTACAATGATACATGTATTTACAAACATTAAAACACAAACTAAGACGACGCAGAGCGTTTAGACAATGGATACGCGCAAGTTAAGTGAGTTTGAGAGAGAGAGTGAGAGAGAGAGTGAGTTGTAAGAGAGAGAGAGAGAGTTACGTTCATCAAAACAGTCAGTTAACCTTTCTTGACACCCCAAAAACATCTTCTTAATGCTTCTTAGAAGCTCTAAAAGAAGGTATACTTGCAAGGCACATGTGGTCTGTGTGAGTCGTGGGCTCGTTGCTCGACCCGTTCGGGCCACGTGTCGGCTAGAGGTGCGCCGGTCCGGCGCGCGTGCGTCACGTGAAGCGCGGCCGCGGCATGTTGGTGCGGCCCGTCCCGGCTCGTTCATGGCTGCTTTGTTCCGTGGGGAGTCACGTGGCGTTCGTCGGCATTTAGCGCCAGTGTTTGAAAGGCTGAGAGTCTTTGAGGTGACGTTACCCGAGGAGATAGTTCGGCAAAGTCCACTTCCTTTCCTGGAAGACGAACTTGGTAGTCCACTTGAGGAAAAGATGAAACTTTTAGACGAACAAAAGGAAAGATCCATGGTTGGATCAGAGTCCCATTAGGTTTACATGTTGAGCGCTGGAAAGTTCAGAAGAGAGCGAGGGCGGACCTGCGTTCTCACATTTATCACCTTGGAGAAATCCATCCCCTTCCTGTTGGCTTGAGCCAATCGGAGGGTGGATGTTGCACGCGGGAAGCTTTCTTTTGTTCCTCAGCGCGCGCTTCTCGTGGAAGGGGGTGTGTTAAATGAGGGTTTTGCAATAGCAATTTGATCTTCATTGGCAGTACAACGAATTAAAAATACACTTTACTTTACATCTCTATGCATATTCGAGTGTTTCATTCAATAAGCATTCTAGAGATATCAAGGAACATTATGTTATATCAAAGGAATATACACTTATGTTTCAAATGCATGACGAAGGTATTTTTAATTCCTATTTAAACTGTGATCAAACAAAGTTATTTCACTGTGACATGGGGAAGACACATATACATAAAAACCATTGAAAACATTTTGTTGAATGTTTTTAAACACCAAAAGTCCTTCTCTTTGTTCAAAAACATTCCACACATTCCGATGTGTGGGGGAAGTGAAAGGTTTGTGTGTGTGTGTGTGTATGTGTTGATGTAACTCGCCTGGCCAAGATTCACTACAGTACCAAGCCTTAGGTAAAGGGTAGAATTAGATTAAGACCTGGCAACCTACCTCGGAAATAACATTGCTAAGAAAAATCATGACAGTCTTCCGCTTCACACATCAGACACGCAAATTCTGCAGTTTCTTGGTCAACAATATTGTTATATTTAAGGACATGGTCCTTAAAATGTCTGTACTGTACTCTAAGTGTAATTTTATTTGGTGGCGGGGGGCGTCTTCTCGGTGGGGGTGGGGTTTTTGTGGGCATTTATCACGCGGGAATTCATTAGGCACGATCCCCGCAGTGCATTATGGGTATTCTCTGGCCGTTGATGGTACATCCGTTTTACTCTTGTTATGCATTAAGGGATTTAATGAGTGCACTTTATAACATCCACTAGGGTTTTGGACACCACTACAAATGGCTGTCCCCTCAAATAGTAAGAGAATAGAACTGGCTGTGTTTCCCAAAAGCATGGTGAGCTAAGTTCATCATAGAGACCATTGGTGGCAATGGTTCTACAATCTTCTTAGGCTTTTGATGCTTTTTGAGAAATGCAGCCCTGATGGATTACGTACAGGAGTTCATTGGCATCAGCCATCTTGCCCAATGTGACAACGTACCACTCAGGGGTTTTGGATCGAATCGGATAATGAGGAGGGCTGAGGAGCCAGTAAAATACACATTTACTATTTCCAATGACTTTTGTAGTTAAATATGATTTGGATATTGTAATTTAGTGAGATTCACACTTATGGTTTAGAGTGAATTCAATTTTATTTATAGTTGTGGTGATAGGTTTTATAAATTGTTCATTTCTACAGGGACAAATCAGAAAAGACTCAACATGAGATCCCGTCTGGACAGCATTTCTTCTTGATTCAGCGGGATTCTTATAGTGAATATTTAGAGTTGGAGGTTTATGTGACAGCAGTGAATGTCCTTGGAAATGTCACGTCTGCTCCTCTGGAACTGATCCCTATGGAGACAGGTAAAACATTTCTCTGTCAAGAATTAAGAATAAATGTGGAATTATGTGTTTATACCAGGATTGTGCTCTTTATTTGTTTCATTTTCATAGTAATTTATTTAATTGCTGAACATATAAATATTAATTGATATATAAGATGTTGAGTAGTCATTTTGAGTAGAAATACAAAGCAGTACTACTTTAAATAGAACAAATTAAAATAAAATGAAATAGTTTTATGCAATTTTATTTTATATGCATTGCTCATAAACAGGCTGTCATATACACAATAAATTGGGTATTTCAGAACAATAGATGATACAAATAAACAGTGGAAAGTTGTATTTAATTTATTTCATTATCCTTATTAAAAATAAATCACAGTGCACCATAGCATACTTTACTTGTACACTCTTATTCAAAATAAAGCAATAAGACAGAAAAAAAATATTGTAAATAGAACATTTTGATTTATGTAATCCTGAAAGTTTTTACAAAGTACATTGTTTTTCAAAATTTTTGTAATCAGTTAATTTAAATGTTGATGTCAATATTTAGTTTTATCAAGTTGACTGACAACAGTATGTTGGACATTGTCCTGATGTGAATAAGAATATTCAGTAATGACAACTCTCGGAATAGTCATGTTATTGAATATGGCAATATTAATGTATTTCGTTTTGGCAGACTAGATCTGCTACACTGCTACTTTTGAGCTAGTTGGACTTGCTACTAACCCCACCCCTAATTCTACCCATCTCCGCCCCTGATCCCTAACCCCACCCCTAATCCTACCAATCTCCGCCCCCTGATCCCTAACCCCACCCCTAATCCTGCCCATCCCCCCCCCTGATCCCTAACCCCACCCCTAAACCTACCCATCTCCACCCCCTGATCCCTAACCCCACCCCTAATCCTACCCATCTCCACCCCCTGATCCCTAACCCCACCCCTAATCCTAGCCATCTCCAGCCCTGATCCCTAACCCCACCCCTAATCCTACCTATCTCCACCCCTGATCCCTAACCCCACCCCTAATCCTACCTATCTCCACCCCCTGATCCCTAACCCCACCCCTAATCCTACCCATCTCCACCCCTTTGGATCTGGATCCAACTCCGCCCCCTGGATTTTGTGTACTGCAATGAGGTGCTACCGGTTATTTGAGTAATTTTAATAGCACCTGAATCATTTTGGGCAGGAAAATATATCAGATACCAGTAGTGTCTAATGTGAACAGGTGAGACAAAATAACGGATATAGTCAAAGGTCAGATCTGTACATTGAGACTTGCAGTGTAAACACAGCCGTGCCGTAATGATGTGATTGCTTGCAGACAGCATGTAAAGGACCAGTCAGAGTCTAGAGTTTCATGAGAAGATATTTACCCAAAATTATGTACCATTGTTTTGTCACAAATCTTTTATGGGACTTATAAAATTAAAACTTCCCTGAATTGAAATTCAGCAATTTTCACATTCTAATTTAACATCTTATTCATTAAAGTAAACGTCAGGTGCGCCAATTCTTAAATTCTGTGCATTTTTTTTTTTTTTTTTGCACAATTCTGCTTTGGTTGTATCAGTCAAACTTTACCTTTGAAGTAGACCTTTCATAATTATAAAGGCCATGACATACCGGCAAGTGGTTGTGTTTTGAAGAATATTGGGCCTATGTTAATGTATACATATATGCCATGTATTTTATTACAGCTAAGTTCAACGCTCCAGAGATTAAGAGGGTTGAAGCGGATACTCCTGGCTGCTTACAGTACAGCTGGAGTCTTTCACAGTCTTGGGTGGAGTTCACCCTCATTGTAGAGCTGAGACTGACAACATTGAACAACCAGCTTGACAAAGAGTTGGTCAGTGATTGCTTTTCATGACAATATTGCTTGATTTTTTGAAACAGTTTGCAAGTTATCTGTACAGTGTTTTAAATAATCCTTCTATTATAGATTTCCACTTTCAGTAAACGACAAAGAGACAAAGTAAAAAAATGTGGCCTCCTTCATGGGACAAATTACACCAGCACAATGCGAGTGAAGTACCGTCCATCGAGTGAATGGAGTGAATGGAGTAATCCGAAAACAACCAACACACTTATGAGGGGTAACAAGTTATGGCTGAATCCCAATTCTCTGTCTTACCCCTTCGTCTTACCCCTAGCCCTTGTCCCCCGAAAACCAAGTGGTAAGCGCTAGTGCAAACATACCCCTATGAAATGAGACACCACTCGGTTACGTCATCTTACATCGTCCTTAACTGGCGTCTGTGTCACCCGGGGCGACAAGTGTTGGTCACAAACTTCTCGAAACTTTCAAGATGCCGTCAAAATGTCCAGGATTGGGCTTTTGCTTTCTGCCTTCACTATTCATTATGTTTACATGCACAAGGTGTATTTAAATCGGACTGAATTCATTTAAATCGGTGAATCTGAATATATTGTTGATCTAATTTTCCCGTGTTTTCGTCTCAGACGGGATCCGTTTGAAGCTGAATGCATCATCTGAGAAGCTGATCACGTACGTGTCAGTGTCAAATAATGTACACAGAATGAATGGCGACTGTAGAAAGCAAAAGCTGAATCCCGGACATTTTGGGTGATCTTGAAATGTGGGACTGATTGTGCAAATCAGCGATATAAAGTTAGCATAGCCTAGCATAGCCTAGCGTAGCAACGTAGCGATTTTTAAAAACTTTAAAAACGTTTCAATAAACCACAGAGTTGCAAATATATATGTACATAACTGTGTAGAGCACAAAACAAGACGGTCATATTTTTTTTATCAATCATTTAAGTGAAAAAACTTTGTATGCCCGCCATTGTTGCCAGTTGCGCACAATGCGCAGTGCATTTCTTACCCCTTGGTTTCAAGTAAGCTCGCGAAAATTATTGGTCTTAAGGGCTATATACCCCTCTCCCTTACCCCTATCCCTAGATCAAAATGAGAATTGGGATAGCCCCTCACGTGAACGCGCTAAACTAAGGGAAACGGGTAAGTGGAAGGGGTAAGACAGAGAATTGGGATTCAGCCTTAGTCTTCACTACTTTACAATTAAAGGGTGTATTCAGAATTTTACAAATTACTGTACAAATAAGGACAATAATTATAATAACCTAATTGTACTGCATTGTGGAATAATAGTGTCTGGTGATTAGTGTTGACTGCATGATTAGTTCATGTCGCAGTGCATCCTGGGAACCTATGATGATCAAAATGTACTGAGATTATACAAAAACTGTCTGGACAATGTTTCAATCAGTCGAAATAAATAAATAAATAAATAAATAAATAAATCTCTCGACTCCAAACACAACTATGCAATATGCTAACATTTTTTTAATAATATTTGAATAAAGAGTGAAGATGTCAATTTCCCTCAGCCGGGCGTGACATTTGGCCACTATTGTATATTTACTTCTTTGTTGTATGACTTGTCGACACTCAGAACTAGTTGTTGTATTTTCAGCTCCGGCTGGAAGTTTGGACACATGGCTTAAAGTGAATGATCAGGTCGCACAGCTCTACTGGAAGGTGAGAGTCTTTGCCAGGGAACAACATATATGTCCAAAAATGTAGTCCTAAACCTACCCGTACCCCTAAACCCAACCCTACCCGTAAACTTCCCATAAAATCAGAGGGAAAGTATTCTGAATGACACTGATGTAGAAGCACACGACCTTGGTTGAAAGTCTAAAATGTTGCACTTGATGAAATCAGGTTCATCCTCTTGGACAGTCCTGACACAGCTTGGAAAATCTCATTTTATATTATATAGGGTGTATAGTGTGTCTATAACATTGTATCACACACACACAAATGACAAGTCAATAAGTGATTGAAAGATCTCTGATGTTCATTCACATTCGTGAAGGTCTTACTATTGAATGTTCAAAGTTAAACTCTATTGACAGAATCTTCAACATCCTGTGAACATTTTTATATAAACATACATCATACACTAGCAATGTAAGTTATGGGACAAGGCACTGCAACAAGATAAATATTTAGTTATAAATATAAGTTACATCCAGTTTTTCAACATTGCATTGCATGCAATGATCATGCAATGATGGTAAACTCGTAACTTTCACATGCAAGGACTCGAAGAGGGGACATGAAGCAAAACTTTAGCTTGTTTTTACAAATAAAATAAAATAATAATTCTGTGATAACTGACAGCCACAGATGTATTGAACCTGAAACTTCCCATTAACCAATGCCTTGTCTCATTTTAGCCCTCAAAAAATTTCCGTGCCAATGGCTGGGATTTGTCATACACTGTCGAATCAAAGGAGACTAAAACGACTTTGTGTGTAACTAAAGAAAGCCACTGCTCTTTCAATCTCAACAATTGGATCAAAAAGGTCTACCTGAGAGCCACGAATGCAATGGGGAGCTCCAATCATACCCAAGTACCAGTGCATCGTAAGAAAGGTATTCAATTCCCACCGTAGACAATATTTCTGACGGATGTCCTCTCAATGTTTGATGAGTTGTTCTTGTCTGGTTTTAGGGCTGGACTCTGTGTCTAATGGCAATGTGCGTCCCCAGTCGAACACGTCTGTGCTTATCACGTGGGAAAGCCCTGAGTCCTCCGGTGTCACGGGATACACGCTCGAGTGGAGATCTCTGAGTGAGACACCGGCAGAACCCCTGTCCTTCATTCTGATGGACAAAAACAGCTCCAGTACCTTAGTAACAGGTATTTACTATTATTGCATATAATAATATCAACCATATGAGCAACCGTTCGGTTGTTCCATATGATCTATATTGTCCATATGATCAACTGGTTTAATTACGATTTTTCTTATATTTGAACAAAAAATGTAAAAGTTGTGAAATATTACAATTATAAATTGTTTTCTATGTGATTATTTAGTAAAGTGTCATTTATTCACTGTGATCAAAGCTGAATGTTTAGTCTTCAGGGTAACATGATACTTCAGAAATCACTCTAATATGATGATTTGATCCTCACTTATTACCAGTTGTCATTGGTGCTCAATTACTTATATTTTGAAAACAGTGTTTACTGCTTAATAATTTTGTGGAAGAAATTAGTAGTACGGTATGCGGTAGTACGCGGATGCGCAGTATCAGCTGCTCCTGCTCATCACTTCTCTCAGCAGTGGCACCAACATGTCTCGGTTCAGTGAACTGTTGGAGTTACTGGAGTAAAATATAATTCGGGATATTGGTTTATTTCGATTCGTAGGCGACTGTCAGGCATGTCTGAAACTAAATAACTTTAGTAACGCAAGACGCGAACTGTTTCGAAAGATTCAGTTCGATTTAGTGGTTCGACCGGTTCAAAAGAATGATTCGTTCACGAACCGGCCATGTCTATGATCACTACAGTCTGCAGAGAGATGGAGGCGGCAAGAGTAAAGGTGAAGACTGGGGAGTGGAAGCTCCGCAAATACACAAATAGAAAGAGTAAAAGTGTGGGAGACATTTGCCGAAATAATGAAAGATGATGACCAAAGTGCTGGCTTTGTCTTCTTGCGATGCTGTGTTGTTACACGTCCATGGCCCAATGACGCTACGATGAACCTTTTACTACTTTTTAAAAAATGCGGTCAGGAAACGGGTCGGGAACAATATTTTCGTACTTTTTTGCGGTCCGAGTTGCGGGCGGGTTGTTGAAAACGTCGGTCGGGTGCGGGTTGTTATACATTGACCCGCGCATCACTGGTGTTGACCACTCCCCCTCGGGCGTCAGGAACTATTCCCCGCAGCCTTCTTAGAAATAATGACAGTCCTCAGAACCGTCTTCCCCTTTGAACACTGTGGCTGAGAGCGCCCTCTGTGTCCCCAGCCTTTCTTGTGGGGGAACACGGGAGGAAACTCACTGTTTTTGGGTGGCACATGTGAAAAGTTGGCTTTTGATGTTTGGGGCTGCTCCCGCTCAGCAGCACGGAGACATGAGAGTGACGGGGAATGAGCTTCTGGAAAGCGGCCGTCTGTTTGGCTTTCTCCGGAAACCTCTCAACGACTGAATTTACAGCGTCGCCAAAGAGGCCAGAAGGTGACAGGGCCGCGTCCATGTGGACGTTCTTGTCCTTTCCTTTATATTACTGAGCCACAGATGCCTCTCAGTGGCCACCTGGGCGGCCATAGAGCGGCCGATGTATTTAGCCGTCTCCTGGATTCAGCCGTCTTCGCAAACTACGTCAAGGCCATTTCCCCACCCTCATCCATGTCTCCTAACACCTCACCTGGGTAGGCTTGCAGCAGGTGTGGAGGTGTGGAGGCATGCTGCAGCCTGACCAGCGGCTGAGTAAGGGCCAATCCCAATTCTACCCCTTACCCCTTCACTTTCCCCTTCCCCTCTGTTTTGCGCGTCCACGTGAAGGGGTAGGGCTGTCCCAATTCTCTTTTGGTTGGAGGGGGAGGGCTAGGGTGAAGGGCCAGATAGCCCTTCAAACGAAGATTTTTCGGGAGCACACTTCAAACGAAGGGGTATGAGAAGTGTCACTGCTAACCCAGGCTACAGACGCAAAATGACTGCCCAAGCGACAAAGGAGACCCATAAATTTAAGTATTTGTGGCTTTAATAAGTATTGTAACGACAAATAATGATTTGCTTTATGTTACATTCAATATTGTGTTCATATTTACGGTCAGTTTCTTCACAGAAACGTTTGTAAAAAAATCGCTAAAATTACTGTAGTTTGCTAACGATAGTCCCGCAACATATTTTCGTCGTCTCCGTTGTTTCCTGCGAACTTCACAAGATAAATGCAAGAAAATAGCTGTAACCCACGCGACTGAGATAACTGCAGCTGTCGACGGCATCTTGGAAGTTGTGATAAACATCGGCGCATCTCCTGTGACGTAGGCGCTAGCGACGACTTACAATGACGTTTAACGGAGGCGTAGTGATGTCCCATTTCTTAGGGGAATATTTTCACCCCTACGCATTGCCACTCTGTTTCAAGGGTCAAGGGGAAGGCGAAGGGGTAGGGCTAGGGGAAAGTGAAGGGGTAAGGGGTAGAATTGGGATTGGCCCTAAGCTTTACCCACTAGAGAAAATGTAGTTCTGACTGGCTTAGTGCGTAATGCCCAACCCGATCTCACGGGAATTCGTACGAATTTTTTACGAGGTGGCTAATTCGTAACAATTCGTACGACCTCACTCGTACGAATTAGTACGATTTTGCTAAATCGTACATATTTTATGAATTAGCCAATTCGTATGAATTCGTACGAATGACCTACCCCTGACCCAGCCCCTAAACATAACCGTCACGTGGGTTTAGACAAATCGTACAAATTCGTATGAGTGAGGTCGTATGAATTAGTACGAATAAGCCACTTTTGAATCACTTCGAAATTAGACTAATTTGAATTAGTCGTGAGATAGCGTAGTAATGCCGGGACCTTTAGTGAAAGATGCCGCTTCGGGGGAGAGATAGTTTGCAAGTGTCTCTTCCACTGCTCTCTTTATAGTTAGATATAGAGGAGTAGTTCGATGTTTGTGCACGGTTTATCTTTTCACGTTATCGACACCTCAGTCCGCAGGAAAAGTCTGTGTAGCTTACTTTTAGAATGAACTTCTTGTTTATTCAACGCAGTCTCATCCCAACGTCATAACTGGCATTTTGGGACGTCTTTTGACTATACGTCAACATCCGCCTTTTTAGGGCCCCCTTAAACGTCGGTTAGATGACGTTATTGGATCCTAATCCTACCCTAAACCCACCCCGTCACCTAACCGACATTAAAGGTAAAACGTCAGTTGTATGACGGCCCGGGATCGTCATGTAACTGATGTTTAAGGGTACCCTAAAAAGGCGGATATTGACGTATGGTCAAAAGGCGTCCCAAGACGTCAGTTATATGACTTCTTGGGATGAGACTGTGTTAGTTTATTAGCTGTCCAGTCAATGCTCAGTCTTTCAACCGCTCGTCACAACCTCAACCAGCTCTTCGAATGCATGAGACTGAGGTGACAAATTCTCAGTATCTCTTGCATCAACACTGACAACATCCAGTTCCTCAGAACTAGTTGCAGCGTCGGTGCCTCCACCTGGGCGGAAGGAAGCGCAACGCCTGCTTCCAAACCCTGAGAGAAGGCACTGGATCGATCAGGTGAAGGCAGAAATAAGGCTGGGACCGTCTCTAACCCTGCTGATAAATCCATTTGCGAACCCCATGACTGGGATCGCCGCTGTGCCTCGGTAGCAGCGGGACCAGAACCCTGGGGAACGCAAGCCTCGCAAAAGAACGGCAGGCGGTATCGGAGCGTCCGCATAGGAAGCACATCACAGTGTTCACAGCCAGCACCCTCGAGCACTGGCTGTGCATGCTCCTCAACCAAACAAGCCACACAAATAATGTGTGTGTCCCCACCCGTTAAATAATGTAGGCAGGCGGACACGCATCCTAAACTGCTGCCTGCTCGCCATGACTTATGTTTACATAGTAGATATAAAGACAAAAAAGCACCAAATATGACAGGAACAGTTTCACAGAGCACTACTGAAGACACAGCTGGACTGATTTTACATGTGCTTCAAGACATCATCACACAAAGCGTTCCCATAGCGTCAATCTGGACGCAACGCGAGGGAACTTAATTATTCCAAAAATGTACATTAAAGCCAATAAAATAACCTTTAAGTCATTTGGCATTTCATCTTTTCTGTTCTTATTTGTTGCTGACAAAGTGCATGCAAATTTAATCTTGGCTGTTTTATTTCAGGGTTAAGGCCTTACAAGCCCTATGAGATCTCCGTTTTTCCCAAATATGCTGATGGAGTTGGTCGTCCTTTTACCGTACTGGCATATAGCAGTGAGAGAGGTGTGTAGTGCATGAAAGTAGTGGACATCTCAGGGCTTTCTATAAACTGGGGAAACAATGTGAAATAGAGCAAAGCCAGAGAATGATACAACACTTCCATCTAGTGGGCTCACGTTTCCCTAGATGTATAATTCTAGCATGCTGACAAATGTTTCATATATTCTCACAGCACCTTCTGAGGCACCAAAGTTGGAAGTTGTGGAAATCCGTCATTCACGGGTCAAACTTCACTGGGATGAAATTCCCCTTGAACAGAGAAATGGGATCATTCAAGGATATACTATTTACTTTTGGGATGATATTAATGAAACCCAAGGTATTCAAGGATTCAAATAAGTTCATGACAGATTTTCAGATTGCATAACTATTTTATTAACCATACTGTTTCTATTCATTTTCAAGTTATTTACACTGAGGAGACCAATGTTGTGGTGGAAAATCTTCAACCGCTTACCAAATATCATGCCGTAGTATCAGTTCATACAATGGGTGGAAGTTTAAATGGATCAGTTGAGAACCTGACAACTGGACATATTGGTGATTATTTATGACCATACTGGTCAATTATTAATAGTACATATTATAAGGCCTATACTATTCAAATATATGTGTGTTTGTGTGTAATATTTCAATAATAACTTTTACAAACCATAATCCCTAAGTGCATTATGTCATGCATTTGTGAAATATGAATGCACTCCTTAACATTCTACACCATATATATATATATATATAAATAATAAAAATTAAAATGTTTTTTTTTTTTTCAGATGGATTTGATATGGTGCTCTTTGTTATCCCAGCATGCATTGGGATATCACTTCTTATCATCATTGTTGTGTTTACCTGTTTGGGGAAACATGAACGGTGAGCATCCACATTGTAAACATTTTAGAATTTTTTTTTTTTTAAATTGCTTGTAAATTTTAAAATGCATTACAGAAAATAAAAAAACGGCAAGTAACAGATTTAATTAAATTTGGCATTTTGAGTATTTTCTTGTAAAACATTTTTTATTTGCAACATCTAGGAAACTTTTTCACTGTGTTTTAGTACTATAACTTAGTTTGTGTGTGGTTGTCACAGGGTGAAGATGTGTTTGTGGCCTATAATTCCGGACCCCGCCAACAGCAGCATTAAGAGGTGGACCACCAGCGACTCACTGCAGGTACTGTCTGACCCGACGAACTGCTGTAGAAGCGCTAGTTTGACTGATTAATCCGATAACTCTATGAGCACTGACTTAGAAATGCACTGTCTAAACTTGGTTATGGTTATAATTCAGGAATGCTTTGGAATACAGACCTAAGGTCTCTTTTTAAAGAAGACATTGCAGTTTACCGTAAGTTTATCGTAAAGCAAATGTACTGTACTGGAGTACATAGTTTCTACAATATATATTTTTATGCAATTTACATATATATATATATATATATATATATATATATATATATTGCTAGATTATTTGGACTCTATATTTGTTATATATCCATTACCATTTGTTATATATCCATTATATATATAACATTTTTTTGCGTGTTAACTCGCAAGTCTGTGAAAAAAAAGTAATTGTAATTGCAAGATAATTTTTTTTTTTTTTGTATGCGTTATCCTGTTACAAATTAAAGGGGTGGTAAAGTATGATTTCACTTTTCTAACTTTAGTTACTTTGCTTTTTTTGGTTACTTTGCTGATTTCACTTTTCTAACTTTGCTGTTTGAGCATAAACGACATTATCAAAGTTACAACGCTCAAAGTTCAAAGCAAAGGAAGGTATTTGCTTTTTAAAGAAAAGGACTACAACAAATGGCTAGTAGGGACTACACGACATTTCTCCCGGGTTCTTAAAATGTGCATAAGCCCCGCCCCCGGGAACACGCGGTCCATGTTGAGAAGAGGAAGAGAAGTTGTATAAGAGTCAGCTCAAACTTTAGCATCCATCTTTTCACATGCAATAGAAAGTCACTCTGTGTGCGTCTCACAACAGTTCCTATACAAGCGATTTAAAGATTACATGACAGAATATCCTAATAGAAGATAACTAAATAAATTCATCAACTAAACATTCAGAGACATGTTGTCACTTCTTCTTGAGTCTCTCTATCTTTGACTGACTCTGTTTTAACATTAAAGGGAGAAAGGTTTGTGTAATTTTATTGTGTCTGCGTGAGAAAATTGCAACTGCTAACCCACAGAGCTTTTGAAACCCCGCCCCCTGCGGCAGCTTATTTGCATTTAAAGGGCCAGACACTAAACAGTGGTTTTTGCAAACCCTTGAAAAGTGACAAATTTAACATGCTGTATGAAAATATATGTGAGGTATTTTGTGCTAACACACACACACACACACACTGGGGACATCAGAGATTTAGTTTGCATCTTGTGAAAATGGCATTCCTTTAACACTGTCAAAGCATTACCTCTACAACAAAACAGTGGCCAAATATGGAGCATTGAGTCTCAGACCTTCCCAATGATATGTTTTTGTCAAGATTAGAAAAATATGTGATTATAAAATAATGCAGTAAATTTAGCAAAGTTTTAAACATGAGAAAGCCCACTAGGGGGAGGAGCCCTAGTACCGATTCCATGGTAACGCCAAAATGTTTAAGCTCATTCCAATGATACCCGAGTTATGATGATTACTAAAATATGTTATAGAGAAAAGGCAATGAAAAGTGTGTCATCTATTACTGAATATGAAAAAGTGTTCAGTAATTACATATGTCAACATGTTTTTTGTCCAAGGGCACGCCTCCCTTTAAAGAAGACAAGGACCCTGTGTTGGTGTTTCTGTCCCGCTTCAGTCTCCTCGATCTGTCAGAGAACGAGCCGTTCAAGGGGGACTACGTCAGGGAGAGTCAGTGGTCACGTGACATGGACAGTCGTGATGGGGGTCACGGCTCTTTCCAGGCCTGCCGTTACGACTCGGAGCAGGACAGGGACTCGGTCCCTTACGCCACTGTGGTTTTCGGTGGTTCGTATCAAAGCCATTCGACCCCTGTGCCACCCTACGTGCGCTCTGAGTCCACACAGCCCCTGTTAGGAGGGGACGAGCCCGCCAGCCCTCCGCCGTACGAGAACGTGCCTCGAGGCAGCCGTGTTTCTCAAGCGAAGCACTTCACTGCATTTCCAACCAATTCCACTGGAAGTGAGGAGAACGAAGAACTCTGGGAAGAATTTCCCATGCTCAGATCCTTAGAGCTCAGGAATACTGATCATAACTAAACTGAATTTGAGTCTACTGTATATAGAAACATGCAGGAGCCCCCCCAAAAAAGCTCAGGCTCATTGGAAAAACGTGCCTCTACCTATATTGCGCAACCCAGAAAATGTGCTGTACATACGAAAGCTTAAGTTAACAGTGAAGCAGAAAAACACCAACAACTTTAATCATTTTCACACAAAATAATTGCAGATTATTGAATAATAGACTTATTTTCATGCAGTTCCTTGCTAAATATTATGTAATGACTTACCGTGCAAGATTTGTAAACTAACACGTTGACGATTGCATCACATGACCAGCTCATGCGTGTGTTTTCTGTGCTCAGTCTCTCGATAAAAAAGACCCGGAGAAGCAGATAAAATGGCAGCAAATGTGTTGTTTGCTTTTGTTAACACTATCAGGTGTGTTTAGGGTTTAGTGTATAGGTTCATTATTAAAAAAACATGGCAGAGTATTGACCTTTAGTGCCACTCACCAGACGATTCAGATTCAGAACTGCTGCGATACGCAAAATAGCGTTGCCAGATTCACGTTCATCGTTTTTGGAAGAAAAAAGAGGAATGGGCTTTTAGAGCCACTCACTGGACATTTCACTTTGAAAGTGTTGCGAGATATGCAAGAAGTAATGTAATATCATTGTGTAAAACTGTTTCCACAGGCCGGTTTTCCCAATTAGCCGTAGTTGACAAGAGTCTGTGTGTGGTCATAACATGATGATGTCCTAAACATATTACATGTTTTATGAATGACAATCTGAACTACTGTCACTCATTATCTGAACGGTCTTTAATAATGTATATCCATTAAACACAGCGCTGGTATTTCAAAAAGTTGAACTTTTAATATGGCAGGCAGATTTAATTGTTTCATTATTTTCAATCTAGACAAGAATTTACCTGTGTTCTCGCCATTGAGAAACTGCAGCAAATTTCAGTGTCATTTAAAAAAAAAAAAATATTAAGAATAATTCTATTCATGATATCCAGTTTAATGAGTTAAAAGAAGCAGACTGCTGTTGTCAATGAAGAGATGATGAGTCTTATGGCAATGTGGTAGCCTAGAAATCTAGAAAAATTATTTTGCAGCAAAGTGTGGTCTATCAACTCTCCATAGACGTTTGAGCTTGAAAACCCCAACTCTGGTAGGGCCAATCACATCGTGTATAGAGTCGGATGGCGGGCTTAACATAATGATGACAGAGTTGCGACGGTCAGAGCCAGACATATTCGGTTTGAAGTCGTTCATCTGAAGTCGTTCATCGGTGCGCTGATACAAAAAAAGCTGTGGCGAAACGATCAACTTGGCACATTTGCCGCGCTCGCCTCGTGCTGTTAC